TAATTCATTGCTCATTCAAATAATTTTAAAAACTGAAATAAAATTAGAATTTTGATATTATATGCACCAGGTAACAACGACAAATAATAAATGTTTTATAGGAAATAGGAAAACAAAATTAAATTTTCAAAATATTGGAATGCATAAAATAAACATTTAATAAATGAAATTTTTACAAGCAAATAAACAATAAGAATCACAGGAATGCAAAATTGATATCATTAAAATTTATAAAATTATCTTTCACAATTTAAATGATAATATGTTAATATCACAATTATTAAACTTTAATTTTCTGTAACAATTAGCTCAAGTATTATTTGTTAGCAAAAAATAATAATTAATAATAGTACAAAAAAAAGAAACTAATCTTTTAATTAATTTTTTGAAATGATAATATTGTAAATTATGATAAAATTAAAATACATTATAAGCGATTTTTAAATTTTGTTGAAATTATGAAAAATTGAAAACACACACAAAAAAAAACAAAGAGATATAAAATATTTCATAAATTGCACATCATTCTTAATTATTATCCCAAATTTAAAAAAAAAAAAACAAAAAATATTCGATTTTATTTTTAATTACTAATATAATATCTTTAATGAAATTTTGAAAATAAGACTTTAATTTAGAAACTAAAATTAAGAGAAATTGTTTATCATAATAACAATAATAATAATAATAGTAATATTAATAATAATAGTGATAATAATAATAATAATAATAATAACTCAATAATGTTCACAAAATTAATATGAAATGAAAATTTATATTTTGATAAATTTGATTAATCATTGAGAATTATTTAATGAATTGATAAATTGTAAAAAATTTTTGCAACTTTAAAAAATTACTGTTTTATAAATAAAATATGCAATAAAAAATAAATAAATAAATCCTTCACATCAAATTGTTCCTTTCTTTTCCAAATTTTATTTTAAAAATTTTGATTTGACGAAATATTTTGCAGCTGGTAGCGATTCATTTGCTGAAATAATTTTATGTAAAATTATCTAAAAATAATTTTATGATTAAATTTTTTTTTTTTTTTTGGTTAATATATTAAAATTAATTAATCAAATAATAACTTAACTGAGAAAAAAAAGAGAAAAAAAAAACAAAATAGTAAAAATTAGGAAAAAAAAAATGTGAAATTTTACTTAAAATATATTTTTTTTTTACTGAAATATAGTTTATTAATTTAAATTTAAATTAATTTAAAAAAAAAATGAAAAAATAATATAATAAAGACATACTGCATTTTATTTTTCGTTTTTTTGTCACATTTAAACCAAGTAATTCACGTACTGTCAACGAACGATTGCAAGAATTTTTTTTTAAAATAATTGTACTTGGTGTTGTCACAGTTGTCACATCTAATTTCTTGTCTCGTTCAGTTTTGATAAGATTATTATGAATTGATAATGAATGTGTCATATCAGCTTGAGAATATTTTAATGCTGTAATATTAAATTTATAAATAAAACATATTTACAATTAAATTTTTTTTAAATTTAAAAAAAAAGTTTATTAAAATTAACATATAGCTAAAAAAAAAATTGGTATATTAAAATATTAAAAAATAACATTAATTTAATATTTGTTATTTATTACTATTTAATAAAGTTAACGATTTAAAAAAAAAAAAAGTTGCTGTAATATTAATTTTATAAATAAATCATATTTACAACTTAATAAAGTTAATGATTTAAAAAAAAAAAAAGTTGCTGTAATATTAATTTTATAAATAAAACATATTTACAATTAATTTTTTCTTAATTTGAAAAAAAAAAGTTTATTAAAATTAATATATAGCTAAAAAAAAACAATTGATATATATTAAAATATTAAAAATTAACATTAATTTAATATTTGTTATTTATTACTATTTAATAAAGTTAATGATTTAAAAAAAAAAAAAGTTGCTGTAATATTAATTTTATAAATAAATCATATTTACAACTTAATAAAGTTAATGATTTAAAAAAAAAAAAAGTTGCTGTAATATTAATTTTATAAATAAAACATATTTACAATTAATTTTTTCTTAATTTGAAAAAAAAAAGTTTATTAAAATTAATATATAGCTAAAAAAAAACAATTTCATATATATTAAAATATTAAAAATTAACATTAATTTAATATTTGTTATTTACTATTTAATAAAGTTAATGATTTAAAAAAAAAAAAAGTTGCTGTAATATTAATTTTATAAATAAAACATATTTACAATTAAATTTTTTTTTAATTTAAAAAAAAAAAAGTTTATTAAAATTAATATATAGCTAAAAAAAAAAACAATTGCTATATATATTAAAATATTAAAAATTAACATTAATTTAATATTTGTTATTTATTACTATTTAATAAAGTTAATGAAAAAAAAAAAAAGTTAAATGAGATAAAATTTTACTATAAATTGATTAATGAATGTGTCATATCAGCTTGAGAATATTTTAATGCTGTAATATTAATTGCATAAATAAAATATAATAATTAATTTTTTTTTTAATTTGAAAAAAAATTCATTAAAATTAATGTATATTTAAAAAAAATAAAAAATAATATATTAATTGTATAAATAAAGCATATTTACAAATAATAATTTTTTTTTAACTCAAAAATAATTTATTAAAATTAATATATATTACAGTATTAAAATCTAACATTAATTTAATATTTACTGTTTATTAGTATTTAATTTTTTAATTTAAAAATAATTTATTAAAATTAATATTTAACGATTTAATTTTTTTTAATTTAAATATTAAAATTAATGTATATTTAAAAAAAAATTAATATATTTAATTGCATACTACAATATTAGTTGCATAAATAAAGAATATTTACAAATAATTAATTATTTTTTTTAATTTAAAAATAATTTATTAAAATTAATATATATTACAGTATTAAAATTAAACATTAATTTAATATTTACTGTCTATTAGTATTTAATAAAGTCAACGATTTACTTTTTTTTTAATTTAAAAATAATTTATTAAAATTAATATATAAAAAAAAAAAATTAAAAAAGTTAAAATTTAAAATGTATAAGTTTATACCTGTAGAATTAGAAATACATGGTGTATTATTAACATTATCAAAATGAACCATTCCTGATTTGCTTCTTTTTAACAACATTTCATTTCCTTTTCCATTATCAAATATATTTTTTAAAATATGATTTGTTGATATGATATCATTATCATTATCATTATCATTATCATTATCATTATCGTTATTAGTTGATAATGATTTTATTGATTGATCATTATTTGTTGCAGATGTAGTTGTTGTAGTAACTGAGATTGAAATTGTTTCTGCTTCATTTAATGATGGAAAATGTATTGGTATTATTGTTTGTTGTGTTATATCAATTGTTGGTGAAATAATAGGTAATAATTTTGAATAATACATTGATGATTCATTTAATGATCTGAAAATAATAATAATAATAACAATAATAATAATAATAATAATAATAATAATAATAATAATAATAATAATAATAATAATAACAATAATAATAATAATAATAATAATAATAATAATAATAATAATAATAATAATAATAATAATAATAATAATAATAATAATAATAATAATAATAATAATAATAATAATAATAATAATAATAATAATAATAATAATATTAAAATTATTTTTTTGTATAAAAATGAAGAAAGAAAAAGTTTTTTTTTTTCATTACAATTAAAGTTAAATGAGAAAGAATGAAAGAAGAAGATAATATTTCAAATTTAAATTAATTTAAAATTTAAAAAATTAAAATAAACTAACATATTGCGTAATTTTTTGAGCAATTCATCACCTTTCATTATCATTACTTCTCGTTCTTTCTTTGATAATTCGGTATGTTTGTAATTTAAATGTGAAATTAATCTGTAATATATTTACATTTTTTTATTAAAAAAAGGAAATTTAATGATTAAAATGATAACAAAATAGTGGAATGATGATAAAATCGATGATAAATGTATCAAAAATTTAAGTGTAAAATTAAAAAATTAAATTTATACATCGAAATAGGATGAAATATTCTAAATATCAAATATTAATCGAAATGTTATACTTAAATGAAATAAATTTATTTATGCAAGAATGTAAGAAAAAGTAAAGTGATAATGAAATGATTAAAATGATAAGAAAATAATGGAATGATAATATAATGATGAATAGAAGTGATTAAAATGATAAGAAAATAGAATAACAAAATAATGATTTTCTTGCAAAATTATTTTAGAAAAATGTTAATGTGTTTCAAATAACAGTGATAAGAGAAAAATTTATCATATCAGTAGAATATGACAGGTCAATTATATCAGATAGATACATGAATTTTCATTTTATTTATCATTTATTTTTTATTTTTTATCACATTTATTTTAATTTATCATTTATCATTTATTATCACAAATCAAATAAGTTGTTGAATTCAAAAAATGAATCTTCTTAAAGCAATTAATGCCATTACTATAGTATTAATTATATTTAATATTTAACTCTTCATTTCTTATCACCAAATCACACAAATATACATTTATCATTACTGATAAATGCATAGATAAGTTAAAAAAATACAGAAAGAAAAAAAGATATTAATAAAAATTTAAAGAGTTAAATAAATTTAACAACTAATCATATAATTTTTACACATCATCATTAACAATAATCACAAATTAAGATCAGTGCAATATAAAATTGAAATAATTAAAAACTCAAATAACTAACTCAAAATATTAATCAAATAATAATTATTCATTTTATTTCCAAAAAAAAAGAGAAAAAGAAAAATGAATTTAAAATTTATTGATAAAAACATACTTTCGTTTTTCTGCATATGAATCCAAACAACCATCAATTGTACATCGATATGGATTATTAGCTCGTTTATGTTCAATTGTATGACGTGTTAACATACAACGATTTTTAAATCTTAATTAATTAAATATAATTCAATTATTAAATTAAAATAATTTCATTTAATATTTATAATAATCATTATCAATAGCAATGATAACAGTTATTTATTTATTTACTTATAATTATCATTATTATTTATTAGTATTATCAATTTTTTTTCCGCTATTTTGAAAAAACAAAAACAAAATGAGTAAAATAAATAAGTAAATTTTAAATTTATTAAAAATTTATAAAACTTTTTTTTTTTTTTTAATTTTTCCTTAAAAATTTATGTGTCCACATACTTTTGTCCACATTTTTGACAAGTTAATGCCATCATTTTTTCAAAAGTTGACATTTGACGTCGACGAGTGCTGTCTGTAAGTAATGTCGGCGCAATATTTGATGAATAAACTTTTGTTTTTGTTTCATCCAATGATGTTTGCTTAAAATTAAAATAATTTATTTTTCACATTTGATAAAAAAAAAAAAAATCAGTTATGATATGATATGATATGATATCAGATAAATTCAAAAAATTTACATTTAGTGAAAAATTTGAAATTTCATCTATGAAATTTTCCTGAAATTGAGTATTTTCTTGTGGATTAGTAATAACATTAATTTCTTCTTTTTTATTTTCATAATTTAAAATAGTGTGACAATATTTTGGGTGACAATTATTCATCCCAGAATTTAAATTTAAATTAATATCAGTTGAAATCAAACTATCATCCTGAATGATTTAATTATTTACAGATATTTTAAAGCAAAATAATAAATAAATAATAAACAAAAATAGAATAGAGCAAAATCTTAGTTAATATAAGTAAAATTTACAAAAAAATAAAAACAAATTTTTCTTTTTTTTTGTTGTTGTAAATTTTAATTTAGCAATTATTAATGAAATAAATTTTAAATTAAAATTAAACTAGCAAAATAATTCAGACCTCAATTGAAATTGTTTCACATGTAACAGTACTTGTTGCATTATCATTTGTTACTTCCAACATCTAAAATTTAAAATTTATGAAAATTAAAAATGCCAAAATTAATAAAAAATAATTTTCACCTATAATTGTTCCTTTATTTTTTTTATTATTATTAACTTTTTTTTTCAAACCTCATTTTCCAAATTTTGAAAAGTTTTAGAAGAGCATAATGATGTGTCAGAATTTGATGATGCATCATCATTCGAATTGTAACAAAAGTCAACATTTTGCTGTGGAAAAGCTGCAAAACTATTAATTTAACAAAAAAAAATTTTTAAAAAAAAAAAAAAAACAAAAAATGAAGGATAAAAAAAAATAAATTAATTAATATTAAATAATTTATAATTTAATTTATTCATTGAAAAAAGAAAAATTATTTCTAATATAATTAAAAAAAAATTTATTCATTGAAATAAAATACTAAAAGCTGCAAAACTATTAATTTAACACAAAAAAAAAAAAATTTTTTTAAAAAAAAAACTTTTTAAAACTAAAAAAGCAAAAAAATGAAGGATAACAAAAAATAAATAAATTGATATTAAACAATTTGTAATTTAATTTACTCATTAAAAAAAAAGAAATTATTTCTAATATAATTAAAAAAAAAAATTTATTCATTGAAATAAAATACTAAATAAAATTTGATAAAATTTTTTTTAATTTAATTATTGTAATTTTAATTAGAAAAAAACATACCATAAGTAACAGTTATTACTTTTTCCTTTTCAACTGATGTAATACAAGATTGAAAATGATTATTGATCATTTCTGATATATCTTCATTTGAATGTGAACTTTTTAAATGAATTATAAAACTAAAAAATAAAAAATTAAATACATTTAAAAAATTTAAAAGAAAAAAAAAAGGTTATTTAAATTTTATATAAATTAAAATCTATATATATATATTAACCTTTCTAATGTAAATATATATGCATCACAAAATGAACATTTAAATGATAAAACAGATGATGATGATGATGATGATGACATTATATCCTGTAAATATTATCATAATAATTAATTAATTACTAATTAACTAATTTTTTTTGAAAAGAAATTTCTTAAATCATTTTAAAAATTAAATTTGAATTCAATGATTGTTCATTTTGTTAAATTTCAACTATTTTAAAATCAAATGATTTGAAGTTAAATTTTTTCCTTATTAAAATTTTCATTTGAATATTTTTAAATTAATTTAAAAAAATGTTTTTTTTTTCTTTTTCCTACTTTACAAATATTTTTCTTTTATGATAATTAATAAATGTAATAAAAATGATACATTTAGCAAAATTGGTTTCAAAATTTCCGGATTTTTCATTCCTGTAATGCATGAAGACGAAATCGGTTCTTCTCCGTGTCGCACTAATTTATTATTGCCATACTGAAATGATATTTATATAATAAAAAATATTTAAATATATATATTTTTTCTATTTTTTTCTTCCTGATTTATAAAATTTTCCTAAAAATTATATAAAATTTTAATTCTAAATTATTAATTGAAAATATTTTGAACTTAAATAATATTCAATTTAAAATGTTATTATCACTGATTTGAATAGTTTATAATAATTTAATCTAAAAATATACCTTTCGTAGTTTCATTATCCATTTAATATCATTCCGAGGCCTAAATAAAAAAAATAAAGAAAAAAAGAAATTAAAGTATTTTGCAAGAAAATATTAAAGTTAAATTTTAAATATTAAAGTTACCATTAAGTAATAAACAAAAAAAAAAGTAAATGTATATTAATTATAAATAATAAATAATAAAGTATTTTGCAAGAAAATATTAAAGTTAAATTTTAAATATTAAAGTTACCATTAAGTAATAAACAAAAAAAAAGTAAGTGTATATTATTTATAAATAATAAATAATAAAGTATTTTGCAAAAAAACATTAAAGTTAAATTTTAAATATTAAAGTTACCATTAAGTAATAAACAAAAAAAAAAAAAAGTAAATGTATATTATTTATAAATAATAACTAATTTAAATTATATAAAGTTAAAATATTAAATTTCAAAATGTTTGACAAAAATTTAAAATATTTTGCATTTTATCAAAAAATGTGAAATATTTTATAAAAATGTTAATTTAAAAAATGTTTCACAAAAATTTGAAATATTTTTACTTTGTCTTAAATGTTAGTTGATTCATTGATCATTGAATGTATCAATCATTTTTATATTTTATATACAAATCTGAAGAAAAGAAAATTTCTCAATGTTAAATACAAAGGAAAAAAAAACCAAAGACGGATGAAAGAGAGAGAGAGAAAGAGGGAAAAAGAAAAAGAGAGAGAGAGAGAAAAAAAATGAATCGCTTGAAAGAAGAATGAATAAAATTAATTTTGACAAGCTAAAATGGTCTAAAATGGAAATAATTAAATAATTAGTAACATTCGAAACTAAAAATTTCCTCTAACTAAAAAATGGAAATAATTAAATAATTAATAAAATTAAAAAAAAAATGTAATTTCAGGTGATAAAATCTTTTCATATTTGTTAATTTTAAAAAATAACTAAAAAATTTTGCTAAAAATTTCAGGTTTTCAGGTATTTCAGGTCATAAAAAATCTTTCCATATTTGTTAATTTTGAAAAAAAATAACTAAAAAAAAATTTTTTTGCTAAAAATTAATTTTTTGTTATTAAAATTTTAATTCATTTTATGCTACTAAATATTTTATCACCTGAAATAAAATTTCAAAAATGATTACACAACAAACAAACAACTAATAAAAGATAAATAATTTCATGTAATTAATACAACTAAAAAATTAATGAACAAAAATTGATTAAAATCTTTGTGATAATTTTGATATTATCATAAGTGGAAAGATGTGAAATTGATTGATACAGTGATACTGATAACATGATACTAATACTGATAACTGATAATGAACAATTATTTACAAAGAATTATAATTTTACAATGAAAATAATAAAATCACAAATTAACTAAATTTTCTTTTTTTTAAAAAAAAATACATATATATAAATTTTTATCAGTCTTAGTTAAAATTTTATTTCGTATCTGATTATGAGTGATAAGTAGTGATAAAAAGAATGATAATGATTAGAATGGAAATTTCGCCCTTTTTTTTTGCTAAAATATTAAACTAATTTTAATGGTTGTAAACAAAAAGGAATGCTATAATAACGATATAAGTTGACAGCTCCGATAGATAAATTCGATCGGATAGAATTGGCGAAATTTAAAGTAAATTTGTTAAACTGGTTATTGATAAGAAATCAATTATCAGTGTGATGATAAGTATTTCTTTCTTATTAAATGCTTGAATAACATTATTTAGAAATTTGTTTTTTTTTTTTTATCAAATGATTGAAATGAAATCGATCAATCGATGGATCAATCAAATTGATTGATTTTTTGCATTGAAATTATTTATAATTTAAAACAAAAAATTCAATTTCAATTCAAAATTTATACATTTCTTTATGAAATGTACTTCGTTTTGGATTTCCGGAAAAAAAAATGCCAAAAAGTTTGTGATAAAATAGTAGCAAACGGATTGATTGATCTTTCGTTGCCTTTTCGGCAAATTAAAATTTGAAAATTTTAAATACTAATTTTGATCATTTTTTTTTTTTTTAGGATTACAATAGCAAAATTAGCATAATTAACGACAAAATGATTATAAATTTACTTTTTTGATCTTTTATTTAGGGTAGAATTCTGATTTCGTACATAAATATAATACTATTATATTTGTTTAGATTAAAGATTAATTAATTGTCTCGTAAATGAATTAAAATTAATTAATGTTTTGGTTAATGAAATTGATCAAATTATTCTAAAAAGATAAAAATTGTTGATATAATTAAATGTGGAATTATTAGTGAATTATTGTTAAAAGTTAAAAATTAAAAGTTATTTATTCATAACTTAGCAATCTGTAAAACAGATCTTTCTGAGACAACAATAATTATCATAAGTAAAAACCTACATAAATTTATATAATTATAGTGATTTTATATAATTATAATGATTTTGTAA